CCCCAAAACCCCAAAACCCCACATGTGACTTTAGTGTAAAATATAGTTTGGGGGTTATCGATTGTTTATTTTAAATTTTATGTTCATTTTTATTTTATGTTCAATGAAGGAACAGTATGACAAGAATGATAAAGATGTTTAAGCCTACAAAAGCATAAACTATCTTGGACATGTTGTCAACTGAACTCCTTAAGTCTTAAATTTCAGATTTAATGCCATTCTAAATTTGGCTATTTTCATCGGCCTTCTTTTAAATGAAGTTTTCAATTCTGTTGAGTTACTCGTTCAAAGCTGAATTAGATAGCACCACCTCTGCCTATTACTTTATATTTTGTTCCTTAATTTGAGGTTTGCTTATCTATTGCTTCTAGCTATGATTAGAGCTATTTTCTTTCTGAATTTTCTTCTGTTAATTATTGGATGGAGCCGTTGATATCAGGGATCTCGATAGCTTTTGACTTTCAATCTATTAAATCTTTTATTTTTCCCAAGATTAATTGACTATTATAAGCTTTTCTTTTAAAACTTTTAAATATTAGTCACCATAGGAGTCTTTTAAGGACTTTTCAGTTTCTTTAATTAAAGTCCCTTATAAGAATCTCACAGGTTTTAGCATGTTTACTCTAAATCTAGATTCCACATTCGTAACATTAGAGATCTTATCAGATGATCCCTCGGTTTCTTTAAATTACAAAAGCCATTCAATATTAAAACAATCAGCAAATGTAAATCCTTCATTTTAAAGGATTGCTTTTCTAATAACGTATCTTGGGCTGATAAAATAATGAACAACACTCATAACCCCCTTATTACTCTTAGGCTGCATAAATTTAGGATTTTCTGTTAAATGTGTGATACTAAATTAGTATTCAACTTTCAAAGGCCAATTTTAAAACTCCTGCTAGTCAGAGACATCATAGTTATGATCTTTGAAATATTCTGGGATCTCTGTATAAACATTTGGAGAAAAATTCAAATCTATATTTGTTAAAACATATTTTTCAAGATATTCCAGTATAGAAAGATTTTCAAAAGCAGGATTTTTTTCGCTATAATTAAAGTAGTTTTTTACTATAACCTGAATGTCCATTTACAGATTATCTTAAAATGTTTAGAGATTAAACCCATCAAAATTTTGTACGAGTTTCCTGACTTAATCCAAACGGTCCTTCTCGAGTTTTAGGTATTAATCATCTATTATAAATTTCCTTGAAATTTTTGCTTGCTCCAATTAAGCTTTTGAATCCAAATTTTCTTCCTCTTCAATTACCCCCTGTTCGTCTTCCTACTAGATTTCGCTTTTATTTTATACATTAAGCTAGTTTGCTTCTTCCTCTAACTACTGTTCAAAGAAATTATTGTCCTCTTATTACTATTAAGCAGCATCATTATACGGTTATTAGCCTTCTTAATTTTAACTTTAATCTATAGATTTGAAGCTGTTTTGCTTACTAATCACCTAGCTTTTGGATTATTTTCTCTTAGATTTTATGGTTTCAGCTATCAAATCAAAGCATTAATCTCTGTTGACATAGCTAGAGAAAAAGTACTCACCATTATCAATAGTCTTCAAAATCATGGAATTATCAAAAACCATTGCACTGTACTGTTTCTCAAGTTCTTTTACCTCTTTCAACAGAAATTGAATTTTGGTATTACTGCCAAAGAATACGTTTCTATCATTAAAGTATGAATGAAATACTATCCTATGAGTGGTTATATACATTCTGCCTTGAAGTAAAATTTTTAGTTTGGCTGCACATGCATAAGAATTCTTAATCTCCTCTTATGGACCAATAAAGCCATAGTTCTCATAGATAAACTATATACTATTATCATCTTGTTTAACTGATTGCTTCATTTACTAGACTTAGTCCTCACTTTTTTTAAGCTATTTTTCTTTTATACTTAGAATTTACGCTGAATACTTTTCTTCTTCAAGAATTGACTCTCTAGCAAGCATCTCATTAATAAGTTTCGTCTTGATAGTTGCTAAAATAATTGCATTGCCTGATACATATTCCATCTAAAGATGATTAGGCTGTATCATACTCTTGCACTTATTCAATAAGTACTCATTTTGCTTATCTCTAATGCTATTGAAATGAGCACCTTTACAAGATTAAGTCCTTTGATTATTGAAATAGTCTTTTTAAACCAAGTCAACATTTATCTCAATATCAGCTTGACTTGTGTATTACTCACCTTTTTAAGACAAGTTTGATTAGTTGCTACTCTTGCTATCTTCATTTTTGTTATTGATAATATTATCTGAAATAATTGACTATGATAAATTGTCAGATCCAATATTGTTATTATTTTCCAGCTTATTATTGTTATTGTTACTCTATGAACCATTATTACTAGAATTGCTATTCAATTCATGATTCTTGTAAATCTTTTTGAATAGTAGTTTCATCGAATCTTTGTAGAACTTGTTGCCATAACAAAACTTAAGTTCATCTTGTACAAAATCTAATAGTTTTTAACTTGATCTCAAAATACACTGATTCGAATCCTCAACTATATCTTCAAGTACAAGTTAGACTTCCTCATCATACTTTTCGAATACGTGATCAATATCAGTTTAAGTATAGCAAGCCATGTTTATGGTGTTTTAGATCAATGACGAAAGCATAATGACAAAATCAGTTTTCTGATCCTATCTTTCTTTCAATAGTTACTCTTCAAGTTGCTTTTTAGGGTTAGCCTATAGTTGCTTTGTGATTTTTGCTTAGCCAGCAGCATAGTTTTGAATGATAGTCTTGATATCTGTTATCTATGAGTCAGAGACTTGTTCATAGTTCGAAACAGATTACTCGATATTTTGAATGATAATTTCCATCTTAGGAAATATCAAAGTGTATTATTAACTCATACTTTCATGAATATCAATCATCTCTTTTATGTATTCTATAATCTATTTGACTGTTGGTGCCAGCTCAGTGTCGCTCAGCAATTTAAAAACAGAATCAGAAGGTAAGATCTTCTTTAGCTCAATTGAGAAATTTTTCTCAGTGTTCATGCAAGCTTTGATCATATTTAATAGTAATTTTAAACTTGAAAGCTGCTTACAGTTTTTCAAAATTTCCTCATCTCTACTGTTCTAAATCAACTTGAAGTATTCTAAGATTTTTTCTTCTATTATATCCTATTCTTGCAAGCTTTCAAGTTTCATGATTAGTTCAGGTTTCTAGCCTTGCCTGCTTTTTTCTTATTCTTTAACATTAGAATTAGGTATGTCATTTAGATTGCTATTTTCCTATTCTTAGTTTGACTGTTATTTGGGATCATTTTTCTTAAACATACTAATTTCTTGGTTAAGATATGACTGGAACACCTCTCTTGCTTATTATGTGATTTGCTCCTAAGCATTTTCATGCTGATAAACTACTTTCTCAGCTTGCTTGATAATTATATCTGCCTTTTATGAATAGGTAGATTGCTTTGCCATCATCTTTTTATTTATTTCCTCATTATCTTTGAATTTAGAAATAATTTTTTCTTCTTAGGATTCAATTATGCTTATTATATATTTGATCTGAGGATCTTATTAGGATTTCATGATTTCATTTAGTAATTCTGCTGTCTCATTCTCAGCTTTAGTCATTACATATCTATCTTTCAATAGTTTTAGATAGTTCGTTTCTAATTCACCAAACTGCTTGATCAGATCGACATTGAGATTGAAATTTTTCATTTCTTTAAGAGTAACTCTTAATTTCTTTATGGAATCCTGGGTATCCTTAAAGTCCAGGATCTGACTTGAAGATGAGCACAATTTACAAGTGAGATCGATAAAAGACTGCTTTTGAAGTGCGTCACACTGCTCGAATGTTTACGTGTATGTTTTGGCTATTTGATTAATTTGAGATTAGTAATTGTTCCGTAATTAGTATAAATTGGGGATTAGATCTTGAAATAAGTCCACAATTACTTGCTATTACTTTTCTTTTAACTATAACTCTTTGAAAAGGTTTACTTCCTCTATGAAAAAATTATTCTTTCTTCGAGCTGTTGAGGAAGTTGGTTTGACATTGTTGTTTTAAGTAGACATATGCCTTAGACTTCTGGAATAAAATAAACTTTATTAATTTCATCTACATCACAATACTATCATTTAAACTTATAATACTACTCAATCAATGAGCAAGTACTAAGAAGATCTATATATTTATTTAATTTTTAATATATATCAAAACATTAATTAGATCAGTGATTCATGGGGTTTTGGGGTTTTGGGGTTTTGGGG